GCAAAGATATATCGCATACTAATTCTACCACTATTTATTTATATCAAATGGCAGGCGTCTTGATGGTTATCATTAGTCCTTTAGTTGACTTTAGGCTTCACAGAGAGGAAGGAACATCAAAGTGAAAAAAATGGAGAGGGGGGGGGGAACAGAAGAGTGTTTCAAAGATGTAAGAGACAAACACAAAGGTTGAAAAAAAGGTAAGGTGAGTACTGTGTAAATAGTCGAATATGGCATAGAGTGAGGTGATGGTAGTTTGAAGTGAGAAGTCAACTGCCAGTCAATAGACCTTTTTGCCGTATGAATATACGTTGCCCAGGGTGCACCACGTGGAGGAAAGTCTATCGCACACCCCACCAATTCTACCATTTGAAGCGCTATTTTAGAATGATAAATATGTGATAAGGGCGATTTGAAAAAAAACATACACACCTTTGATGAAAGAGTTTTAACACTGAGTGGAAATTTTCGAATTGACATTTGTATATTGAACATCTCTAACTCACAGTTACCTTACTTGTAGTTTGGAAGTGTAGAATTAGGAAAACATATGCTCCATACTTCATGGTATCCAAGATCACTTTCTGTCTTTGAAAACACTTTTATGATCAATTATTTGCTTAATACCTAACATATCCTTTCGGGCACTGGTTCTTACCACCTCCTGCTGCTATCCCTGTTAATCATCATGAAACTAGCTGCCTGTTCAGGTGTTGAAAAAGAAGGTAGATTAACTATAGCCCAACGAAAGCCTCTTCTTTACCTCATTATGTAGATATTCGTGTTTATGCATGCACTTGGTTATGGACCTCCATATAGGTTATTCATCATCAGAAACCAGTATAAAAACTATATTTATAATGTCATAAACCATGAACCCACTAAGAAAAGCGTTTTCCAACTCTCACCTTGGATAGACCGTAAGACCTGGTAAGAGGCTCGAATTCTGCCAGCCCCTAGCCTTCACTCGGTTGACCATTCACTTCCTAGATGTGCGCCAATGGGAATAGAAGCCGTAAACTCTGCGAATGTCAGATGAGCATGTTGACCTAGGTGACTCCAATGCACACAACTTAGAACCAAATTTAGTCAATGATATTTCATACGTGCAAAATTCGAACATCGAAGTAAACGAATCTGTTAATTTTAATAGATTAATCATTTTCAAACTATTGAAAGTACATTGAGTGTCGAATAATTCTGCTAGTATGCAAGCATTTTTACATCTTAATGAGGGCTATCCTTTACAGTGGATCAAGCGACAAAGATAGGAACTTCTAATTACTTTTAACCTTGAGTTATAGTCAGATGAAAAGTGAACTTACAGCTACGTCCACCAGAACAGGGATTACTCGGAATAAAAAAAAGATTTATGGTGAATAGAAGACTGTTGGTTAATAGATTGTAATAGATTTACATATTTGGTAAATGCAACTTTTCAGAAGTGTACCATATCTCACCATTCGAATCACTCAAACTGGAACATTCAATTGTTCAACCGCACAAACTGCTGCAGGTAGAGGCACATCAGAATCGAAATGCACAATTAAAAGTCCCATTTGAGTATAACGAAGTATCAGACTGTCACCAGGTGGGGCGAAATCGGAGTCTTGAGGCGTTGAGAAGGCTACACAAGCCAAACTAGTGAAATAAAATAAAGTTTATGGAAAGTGTAAATTAGAATGCGATTGAGAAAGAATGTAATGTCGAAATAAATGAATTGTTTGGTCTACCAAGAGCTATATGAGAACCAAGCGACGACTATGGAGCGCCGTATTCATCAATCTAATTACTCTTCTAGCACTCTGTCAAGTATTGAACACAGGAAAAGTAAATCAGGTTTGACAACTAGGGATACCTCGTTTCGGAGTAAGCTATGGATTTTCCTTATAACCGTTCTCGATAGTTAGAGGCAATAGTGTAGGGTTAGAGTCTGATTCATAATGTTGAACAGAATCTAAACGTAAAATCAACAAATTCAGTGTACGAGAAACATAGTTTTCCACAGAAATCTTGAGTTCGATATTTTCTCCCAATCAAAAAGAAGCTACAATAACCTTTGAAGAAGAAAAAAACAGTTTTTAAGAGTAAGTATTTAAAATAGCTATACAATTTGCGCAAGTGATCAGTGTAACGCCTGCTTTAGTCGTGAAACGAGAATGTCAAAGGAAATCACTAAATGTTCAATCATTCAGTTTTCATGTAAAATAGAGCCAAAAGGGAAGATGAATGCAACTTTGAAAACCTTACATTTTTAATTCGAAATCTCTAAATCAAACAACTTACCTTCCTTCAAGGCTAAATTTAAGTGGCTTGAATACTCGGATAGTTGGGTTTTGATTCAAGTTATCTTCAACATATCCCGAAACTGGAATTGCCAGTGAGAGACGAAGATCTTGCATAACTCTCAGCTGATGCTTCTCAGCTGAACTGTAGAAAGGAAGCTTCAATTGATCGATGGTAGAACTGCCTTCATTTTCCAATGAGAAATTTTTCAAAGAACCGCATCGTAGAACATAATCATCTCCCAGTACCAGTGTGATTCCCAAGGCAGGGCCATTGGGTTTGAGCAAGCGATCTAATTGCAGAAAAAATATATGCCACTCTTCAATGCAATTCCCAAATGGTGCAGTTCGAACTAGATCACGAATATTATTAGTTTCCATACTATTTAAATTATTTAAGTAGGTGTGCTTGCAAGAACGTTGGCAAACTATCGATTTCTACCATTAGCTCAGCTAAAGGAAATACGCCCTAGGGTAAGTAATAAACACAGCATCGAAATATTAAAAGAGAAGAATAAGATCCTTTTACCTAATAATTTACAATTTCAATGAAATGTAGAACCTTAATAGCTATAATAAACAGTAGCTATATATATATTAGTGAACTCACAATAGTTTAAAAATTATCAGATGGAAAAATCCGAGAACTGATTTGTGAAATTCAATCCGGTAAGCAGCGTGTGCGGGATACCAACTCTTTAAAGTTGAAATTAAACAACTGATTTTCATAAGTAAAATGCTCGAGAATGCTCGAAATAAGACCATGAATTCACCAAACAATTGGGTGTTTTAACACAACTTTTTTTAAATATTGCCTTGGTTATCAAAAGTAATCCACTTTTATCCGTTATATCCACATCACGATATCAAGAAATCGATTGGAAAGTGAACCGATAGTTAGGAGATTGACCATTCCTCTCGACTTTGTTTATATACACTTAGTAGATGGAAATGTAATTTTAAGAGATGACTTTATTACGCAATTATGACATGATTAAAATCCAAAATTAATAACGAGAGATTAGTACAGACCTACTTTTTGAAAGGCGTTCAGTTCTGTTAGCTTAAATATCCTGCCATCGGTTGCAACCATTCCTCTCAACTTAGCCTAATCGAATAAGTAATTTCATTTGATCATCTCAAATTTAAGGCTGCTTGACGAAATGAAAGGAAAGTATTTTCATAGTTGTGGCCTTTAGAAAACAGCATTATTGTTTGAAAATGGAAAGAGATGTCAAAAGTCATGACAAAAAGTCATGACTCGGCATGGCAAAAAGGCCTAAAACTCGGCAGTTGGGGGCTAATGATAAATATCGTAAAGCCTGTCATTTGATATAATAATAATAATAAAAGCTTTTAATCAAATGTACATCTCATAGATCTTCCAAGACGGAATAGATAACACAGTCATTAGATGTGAAAAGATGTAAAACTATAAGACCAACCACTCAGGTCAATTAACTGATAACTAGGATCGAAAATTATTGATAAGCAATTACTCAAGAACCAAGGGATTATATCCTAAGATGTAAACTCGTTAATATAAAAATATGTGAGAAACTTGTTCTATCCCCCCCCTTTTACCTCCCTTTTTCCGTTCTGGTGCTGTATAAAATTGCCTTTTTATTTATCAGAATATTAATATGAAAATGATTGAACCAAAGAAAATATAACGTCATGCGTGATAAGTAGCTCTCTTGGGAAAGAATCGTAAATAGATATATCAGAAAACATTTAAACACACTGAAAAAAATTAGATTAGTAGATTACTTTAAGGGAGAATTAACGACTTGCTAAAGATTAATGGCATAGAACCAATACCCTGCGTATCTCTTTCAAATTAAATTAGACAAGGTTTACGACTGTGAATTTTCAATCATAAGCATATTAAATTTGGATCAAACACGTTGATACTTGATCAGCCAGTGCAAAAGCACTTGCCAGCATGGAAGGCCAACATGAACACATCCAAGGACTAATGAGAAGCTCAGAGCTGAAATGTGTCAAAACACAAGCCCATCCAGCCTTAGACGGAAGTAATCATTATGATAAAGTGGCTGCTTCCTCCTGCTCTCCTATCCCTTTGTGTTTTTTGGACCAAGTTACATCATTCATAGCTTCATACGCCTATCTTTCAGCATTATTTTCTACAGTAAATTTCCACGCTAGCATTGAATCTCCAGCAGCGACCAATAACTGAAAATCCGACTCATAGGTGCATAAATTACGTCTGCAAGTTTAAATCATTTTGTCATTGTCATTTTAAAACGTATAGACTACCCTAACCTTGTGTGGAATTTTGTGTTGACATTGAGACTGATTCATGATACAGCGGTCGTGCATATAGCTATCTGTCGGAAAGTAGTTTTGTGCACTACTGTTTAAACAAGAATTGAGAATCTTGACATTTGAAAACGAACTACAAGCGCTGGCTGCTTGTAGTTAACACACTCACCTGTTAGATAAATACTCATCCACTGACTCAAATTACCAACCACTCACGTTTAAACCAACCGGGCAGCAGAAACCAAGTATCTCAGAGGTTTCAAATAACGTTTTCGCCATCCAAAAGGAGCATTAAAAAATGCCTCACCGCTATATTGGTCATTGAATAAGTCTGTGAGGAGAATGAACAAGGGAACTAGTACCACTAGTGAACGCCCAGTGACGTGGACGACCAACTAACTAGAGTCAACAGGATGGGTGATGGAATGCAAGAGAGGGGGGGAGAGAGAGGATAGAGAGGTCTAATTCTTTTAATAAACTTTGGGAGTCTCCTTCATTTATTTTAAATTGTTAAAATCATCCTATATTTTCCCAGCGTGTATGAAACTGTGATTTCATATGAGCATATCAATCCATTTGACAGTTTTATCAATATTTTTAGCACCGGTGAATCTTACCCTATTGGTAACTAGGTGGTCAGGTAAAACTGTGCAAATCATAGCTACCAAAATGGTAGTGGTCAAATGGTATAAAAATAGAATTGTGATTGCAAACCCCCAGTAGAAGTGAGTAAAAGCACAATGATTTATCATTTAAGAAATCGAGTTGAATCAGCTTCATTTTGCCATATGGAAACTGGGACTCTGAGAAGATGTTTATGCTCCCAACCTCAGAGTTTAAGAATTTATGAACCATGAAAACGCTCCTAGCTACAATCTATATTGAAAATGGAGCAGATAACGTTAAAATAAAGCATTTCGTAGAGGAATATCATAGTAAATGCGCGCAGAACCACTGTTTAACGTCAATTCCCTTAATGAAATTTTAAAAAATCAATAGAAATGAATTCTGACAATAGTAACGTCTTTAAGGAAATAACATGTTTTTTTCTACTTCTGAAATAAAACATGTGAATGAGAAAGATATAATTAAAACTAGGGGCACAAAGCACAGTTCCAAATACGCAATAAAGCAAATTGTGTGTATTCTAGAAACATTAAACTAAGTAGCATGAGTAGCATTAGTCATTGCAAGCAAAAATCTATCAAGATGGGAAGTTTAGCCGCTGCATTTCACATCATAGGTTTTCAAAAGTCCTGGCTATATCATCGGTGTTGTTTAAAAACTGTAAACAATTGAATAACATACGGGTTTGCCAAAATAAGAGAAGAAATGGTAAATTGAAGTGCTCAAACCGACCACCGTGATTTTAAAATAGAACAATGAGCAATGGGCAACAAGGGGAGATATTAATTGTAATTCGGAGACAAATTCTGGAAATTCGCGAATCCCCCAATTTGAAATGCCTAATTAAGCACGAAAAGTTTGCTATTCACCTCCACAGATGACATGAAATAAGATTCGGGGACACCTTGACACTACTTCCAGTATTTTTCCATGTCCCCCCCCCCCTCTTGTCATTTGTTTGGCTTTCTTTCAAACAATCGCCGTGTTTTCTCACAAATAAGATTCAAACTCTGTTCGTATTACGTTTGGGTAGCAGTAAGACCTGAGCAAACGATAGCTTAACCGAAAGAGCAATAAAATCAAGAGAGGTTCATGTGGTTTAGAACCTGTGGGGTGGGAAGGGGCGTAAACAAACGTGTTTGAACAAAACGAGAAGCTAATTAATTGTGTCAACTCACTCTATGAGAGCATAAACAAGTGCAGCTTTATACAAGCACAGTAAATGCTTCATGCATTCCACAATCAATAAAGTCACGTAAACAATCCAGTCACAGAGTTAACCTGGTAAATAAGTGAGTTGTGATTTGATGAGTAGCATGTGATTGTTGAGCACAAGCACCTGGTAGCACATCCCACGGGATTTGTGCACAAGTATTTGTAATTTACAGAAATGGACTCCTTCCCTATCTTCCGCACAACTAAAAATTGTGAGTATGCTTGTGATTGGTGTGACAACACCATAGCTTAAAAGCCCAAGATGCGCACTTTATTCTGCTGTCAGAATTGCTACTATGAAAAGTCAAAGGAGCACCAACTTCCTTCCTTGAACAAAAAAATAATAACGCGCTCTGTGGATTAACCTCACAATAGTAGACTTGACCTAACCATATCCCAATCAACCATTTTAGTGGTTAAATTGAGCTAACCGCTAGCAGAGCTCAAACGATTCCGCCGTCTACTTCCTCGAATAAACTCAGCATCGGAAGTGAAACATCTCTCCGATCAGTAGATTCAAAGTACACAGAACAATAGAGTGAATGGCAATAAGTTACACAATAAGCAGACTGCATTCAAAAAAATTCCGAACCATTGGGTTCATATGGGAAAAATAAGCACATTTCTAGATGAATAAACCAGTTTCCAAAAGTAATATGGTTGCTTATGAAATTGCACTGCTATATAATTCCAGCAAATTAAGATCAAACCCGTTAAAGGAAAACATTTACTAAAGCTTAACTTGAGAAGAGGAGGGGCATTCTAGAACCCTCGTAATTCTGTTGACTTGGTAATGGTCCCCATGCTCACTAGAAATAAGTCGATAATTACTGGGCCACTACGTCCTCTGAGTTGACAAGCGCGCATACTAAACACTGTCCTCTCTTCGGTGCTTCCTCGGCTCTTACATCCACTTCTCTCACCTCATTTTAGAAACAATCGGTGCAAAAAACGCACCCGAGCACAAGGCGTCGTCGACACAACTTGAACATAGCGTTAACCACCTTTCTCCACGTGCCTTGGGTTATAATATATAGGCACATAAAATCTTAGACCAGTGAAGGAGAAACACTCGCAAACTTTTATATATACTTTTGGCAAGCTCCCACCCACCTCAATGCCTACTCTTCCGAATAAAAATTTCTCCCTTTGATTCAATACAAGGCGCACAATAGCCTAAAGTCCTTTATTCAAATATATAGTCTTGTAAGTAGCGCATAAACAAACAGGCATAATTCTACTTATAAATTAGTCATCCTCGCCTCTACTCATACCATACGGAAGGCAAATATGCTCCATATCCATGAGAAAGCGGTTATCACGTCAGCCGTCAGTAGTGTAGCCACCTCGTCATATGCAAACTCGGTCTACCATATGTTACCTACTAGTCATAAGAGTACACAAACATGACCACAATAGCTGGCGTAACCGAATATAGCCAGTTTACACAAATGCGCCGATAACGCACACTCGAATACGTGGTTTATACCTTGTTACACTCAAGCACGCACGCACACACAAATTAGCTTGCCAACCAATTGCAAAAACAGTACACCCAAATACGTAAGACTGCAATTTAACAATTAATTATGGACATAAGAATCAATTTATAATATAGCTCTCTGCATCTATGTCACACTACCAAACAGAATCAATGTGTGTGCCATTGTCATTGTACTTGTGTGTATGTAAATAAAGCAGGTAGAAAAGTAGAGAAAATAGTCGCACATGAAGTGTGGGTTAAGGGCGCTGAAAGAAGTAGGAAGGAGTGAGTCTATCCGATTCATCGGCCTTCAAGAGGTTGAACCAAACGTCTGGATCGCTGACGGACAAGATTCTGGCGCAGGGCAACAGCCGCAGGGGACATATTAGCTCCAGGAGGAATATTTCGATTCCTAGGACGTCTAACAGGTGGGCCGAAACCGTCCGCACCGAAAGCGGCACCACTTTTAAGTGATTCAATGAGATTATCGATAACATTTCCATCGTCTTCTGTGGGTTTTCTGTTGATTCCACCAGCGACTTTTTCTGCAGCCTTTTCTTCCTCTCGTCGTTGCCTTTCTTCAAGCAACCTTTTCTGTTTCTCCTCCAACTCTCTCTGTTCTTGAATCTCCGTCACAGCACGTTTAAAGGAGTAGAGGAACTTACTCATATCATCTAGCAAACTCTCAATTGAGTACTTATTGTGATCGAATGCGAAGTACGCAGCCACTTCAACATGCCTCTCATGCACTCGTTTGAACATACTTTCAACCACTTCTGTTTGTTGCTGGGCTTCTGCGAGGAATTGTTTCATCACCGTGGGATAGTTGTCTTTAGGATCCGTGATTGTGTATGTTCTCAAATCATTTTCCAATGCGTCCGATGACTTCTTCATTTCAGTAATAGCTGCAGCAGTAGCATCCTCAGAGAAATGTGAGGCTCGATCAATGTAGGACAAGTCATTAGTGAGACCAAATACACTATCGGGGAACTTCTTTTCAAGAACTCTAATCAAGAAATGAAGAAGGGTAGATTTTCCAACAACATCCTTTGTGTCCGTCAATTTGGGAAGGAATGAAAGATGGAAGCCCAGGGATTGAGCATTACGCGAGCCAGCGTTAAGGTAATTTCCAAACAGGAGAACAAGTTCAATCACTTGAACGAGGTGTTTACTCTGTCTCAACTCCTTCAACGCTTCAGTCACTGCAACAATGTCAGGCTTGATTTCATCCACTCTCTCCTGGAAGCGCATTTTAAAGAGTATTGATTTCAGACGTGGTATGAGTTTCTTTATTGTGCCCACCTTGCAAAGGAATTGTTCGGCTTCTCCTAGCTCGTCATAATCTGCAGACAGCTCAACAACTTGTCTAATCACCTCTGGTTCGGGAAGGGCCTTTAACAATTGTTCCACAATGCCCGGAGAGAGTAAAGCCTCATCAATCTCAACAATTCGCCTTCGAAGTTCATCATATGGAACTTTTATTGAACCGAGAAGAATAGACAGTGCTTGAGCAGTTTTACCGTCCAAAACTCGTAAATGTCTCGCCTTCCTGGCTATAGCTGCTGTCCCAACACCACCCTTGGTACCACCACGACCAGTTTCTCCAGCTTCACTATCACCACTACCGGTAAATTTCTTCGGTTTAGAGTTGAAATTCTCCGACAGTGAAGCGAATAGATCATCCGAGGCGAGCTCATTCTCCTGTATCTTCACCCAGACAGAGTCTTTAGCTAAAGCATTCTGATCCACTTTATCCCAATTTGCCTTTTTCATGGGAAGCTTGGGTTTATAGATGGGCTTGGCTTTCATGCCAAAGGGAAGAGGTGGAGTTGCAGAAATGCCGCCAACCAAGGGAGGAGCACCAGGTGGTGGTGGAATACCCCCACCTGGAGGAGGAGGGGGTGGGGGTGGTGGCATCGTAGGACCACCAGGGCCTCCCGGAGGTGGCGGAGGAGGAGGCGGTGGTGGAGGAGGCGGAGGAGGTGGGGGCGCTGAAGCCCCTGAAGGGGGGGAGGGCACATTCGTGCTGCTACCAGTTTCTCCACCAGCACTGATCCCACCACCACTAGCAATATTTGATTTCAGCTTCTCAAGCGTGGCTTCCAATTCCTGTTTTTCCTGTAGAGCTTGATCTAACTTCTTTTGCAATTCCTCTACCTTAGCCCCACTTCCTCCATCTGATTGTTTATAGGCTTCCATCAGTGCGTTAATAGTTCCTTCAATATCCAGGCGTAAGGTACCCAAAGCTGGATCAATATCGACGCCATCGGTCTGTAGTACAACTTGGGCAACAATTTCATTTAGGAGATTGTAGTAATGATGGCGATGGGGCTCTTCCCTAATGAACAAGAGATGCTGAAGAATCGATAAGAAAATTTTCTCCGAAGGAGTGTTGGACACAGACCTTTGAATGAGCTGGTAGACCTGCTCCACGTCATTTAAATCTGCTCTAGCAACATCGAACCGCTCGCACAGTTCGATATTATCTGCTTCAGCGAATCGCCGATATATACCCACATGATTGATAATGTTGGGATCAGTGGATTTATCCAACTCCGAGAGACATTGATTAAGACCAAGACTGGCGAGTTCCAAACGCAGATGAATACGATAGTCCAGGACAATAGTCTCGCCAGAGAGAAATCGAGCCGAGACAAGTACGTTAATAAGCTGTAGACAGGCGCAAGCAAGATCAGGGTTGGAAAGGCCTTGAATAAGGGGTTCAAATCTTGGAGGATGATTGGGGGTAAATTCTGAACAGAAAGTCAAACCTTCGAGAACTTTTTCATGACCTTTCAGACTACACATGGCCATCGTAGAGAGTAGCTCAAGAGAACACTCCATCAAAGGAGCATCGTGAACATTGAGACACCTCGCAATGAATGTGGAAGCAGTATCGTGGTCAACCAAGGCATAGAGACCATAACCACAATTACCTAGAGCACGAACGCATCTCAAACTCAAATATGTAATAGTTCGATTCTGAGTAGGAGCAAGAAATTCAAGCAGAAGGTTCAGACCATCATTTTCATTGTTGTTGAACTCCTTCACCCAACTAACTCGTCCATTAAGGAGAGCAACTCGTAGAGATTCGAGAGTCTTGAAGATTTCCTTTTCACTCAAGAACTTCGCGTTCCCCAACTCCTTGCAATAGTGAGCAGGACTACCTGACGTTTTATTCGCTCCATATTTTGAAGACGCCAGCATTTCGATTTTAAATTTAAGGGGTTTATCCAGGAGAGGAGCACGCTTATCTCCAGTGATGTTCATATCCTCCAGCATGGATTCAAAGAGCTCATTGATCTTCTCCTCTGGGTAATGGGCGAGATTGGAATTATCGAAAGAGAGACGAGGAGTGTCTGAAAAGCTATCATGAGCACGCCCACCGTTGTGGTGAGAGCCAGTTGAATGATCCCGTGAGTAACTATCTCCTGCACCACCGTTGCCTGCGCTGACAGCTGACCCTGGTGCCTCTTTTCTACGCAGGGAGAGCATGTTCTTGAGGCCCTTCTTCGATTCCTTCTTGGATTCTCGTTTACCATCCATAATTCAATGCTTGTGGTGATTGTGATCTGGAAAAAAGGTGTACAATAAGAGGGAAGTTAATGTGTGAGGTGGAGGTTCACAAACTTACTATAAACAAACATACAAGTGCTTTCTTCAATGTCGAAATGTATTGGAGAAGAGAGACTACTCGATTTAAGGGAGCTAAGTGACTGCAGGAAAAAGAGTGCAAAGAATAAGAGAAGGATATGTCTAAAGAGAAATGGCATGGCCCAGTTAAGTGCATTCAATTGTACATTTACGACTGGGAAACCGCGAATTTAAAGAAAATTTTAACAAGTAGCGTTCCATCATCATAAGCTTAGAAAAGCTTAATGAAGAGAGACATACGATTCAAAAAAGCCCCTTACTTGTGGAAAATATAATTAGGCATTCGTACACCTCCTAGATGAGTCGTTATGATCAATTTCAAAGACCTTTGCACTTGGTTCAAAGTAAATTCAGAGCAAAGAATACAAAGTTATGGAAATAGAGATTCTGACAACTACCATTATTTTCACCCACTGTGCCTTAGTTCAAGTACGAGCTAGTTAATTCAAAATCTCAAGACTTGATGTTCAAGAACGTCGTGGGAATTAATCGATACCCATTGGGGTTTGAAGACGAGTTGTTCAAAGACAAAGGTAGTGACTGAGCTCAGACAGATGTAAAGACCTTCAACTGTCACGCCAAACTCAAGATCAAGGGACCTCAAAGCCATTTTTGCATGGATAAGCAAACTAGATGAATTTAGGGTTTTAAAGCCATTGTGTAAGCCACTGGATTCACTTAAAATAAGATACATAGTTAAAATGCTTGATTTGAAAAAGTTACATAATAAACACAAAATAATAAAATACGATTCTAGATAAAATTACTCTAAATTGGAGTGTATCTAACTGTTATTAAATGAAAAGTTATCTCAGATACATTTGTGTGAAAAAGAAAGGGCATTTTCGACAGTGAATTTTTACTATCAGAATAAGAACAGTGATAACTCTAACTTGTGATGCTATAGTTAAGTTTAGATCCTGCCAAGTTAGAGTTATCCATTCAATAAACAGAATGATCACAAATGGCATTGACAGAAAGCAAATGTGCCAAAAGATAGACTTCGAGACAACAATTTGCCGACAGAACAAGTGTTGAAAAATGTATTCTTCGATAAAACCTATGAATCCAAACTCGATCTCTAATGGAAATTCAAAAGGCACAATCACACTGCATTTTAAATATCAAAAACTGAAGCTATCATTCCAAATTCTTAACATGGCTTGATTACAAGGGTGAAGAACGTAACTGGCTGCCTATATTTTCAGAGGAATATGTTAGTCGTAAAAGGAGGGCACGCGTAAGAAAAAATATTTTGTTACTAGCTCTCAAGCTCTGAGCATGCATAATGAGGAACACTGAATAGTAAGCGATTAACAGTCGAGCGTAAGACCTGTGACAACTGGGAGTAACAGAATAACTTAAAAATGCAGAAGTTAGTAAATGAATTAACAAGTGGTACTGATTTTAAGGCTTGTTGAAAGCCAACACCACCAAAAAAATTTTTCAGTTCTATACGACTAATATAGTTTAAGAAGCCAAGGCATTTTGAAAGAAAAGGAAAGTACTATGAGAACAAATGATAAATAGGTCACAAGTATCGACTCAACACGGTAGCGGTGAAAAAAATCGCAAAAATAACTAACTACAAAGACGACAACTACCGATAGAAATAACGGTATTTCCGAATAGAAACCAAAAACAGAATACCGAAAAAATATGAGAACATTTAACAGTAGCAAAAGATATAGTCAGTGTTTAAGAAAGTAAACAGGCAGAGTATTTATAAATTTATCAATCTTATACAGGAGGATTTCTTAGCATAAGTGAAAAAACCGAATGGTTTAAAGATAAAAAATTAAAATAAACACTAAATGGACAGTAGATGAATCTAAGGAATTTAGTAAAAACACTTAGGACATGCCATCTGAATTAAGTATTGAAAAATGTAACAATATGCTGCAATTCAAATGTTAGACAAAAAACAAAGACACTGATAATAACCACAAATTTAAAAGGCCTGAACAATTACAAATATGCAATTAGAATCCGCTGTAAATAAATTACTTGAAAAAAGACTGAGTATCTAATGTATTAAAATATATTGAATAAAAATGTAGTAGAGAGCAAATCATGAATTACCTTTTAACCGATCAAAAATATTTGTCATAACAATGAAGCAAACACCACTATGAAAGGTCGAGTTTATTTTATTGGTAGTTGTATTCGAAAAAATAGACAATCTGCATTTTCGATATATTCAAACATAGTTTGCAATTATTTTCTGAATTTTATTCAAATAATACGTTCAATGTAGTTTAATAAATAATTAACCATATCTTCAGAGAGTTTGAACAAATAACTAAAAATTGCGTACTATTCTCTGTTTCTTATATTAAATAAAAAATTTCAATTAAGTGAATCGTCTTCATTCGTAATCGTTGCTATTGTTATTTGCGAAACTTTCTACATCTTATTGTGTCTCATAGTTTTAATCTTTAATTTTTTAATTTTTGACATGTATCTATATTTTGCTTAAGTTTAAAGCAGTACATAATTTTCATCCATAATTTATAAGTAATTCTTTTAGTTTAAAGACGTGAAAACTTTATCAACCGAAAAACTTTCTTGTAGGACTTAGGTCCAAAACAATAAATTACCTTCTGGGGATACTTTATATTTAGTCCTCCATTTCTCTGTCATGTTGCTATTTTTATTAATTGTTTTGTCCTGTTTTAGGAACAGTATGAACTAAAATTTTCTCCTTATTTAGTTTCGAAACGCGAATTTTACGACTCGTGTGAATAGTTAGTAGCTAATAAACATGAGATTTTCAACACTAAAGGGGTAGTTTTCCAACTAACGAAGGTAAGTAGACCCATTTTAAGTACTGCCGTATTAAAAATACTCCTATACTAGTTATGGCGTGGGCTCATAATCAGTAATTCATAGCATGCTCCTTACGAAAAATGTCCAGGAATGCACGAAATTAACAATATTCTGCTCAGAAAACCTAATTTCATTCAATTTTTTCTATTCGTTTATATAAATATACAATGGTTATTTAAAAGAATTACTATTATGATCAACTTTCAAATGAGAATACTCTTCTAAAATGTAATCACAATTCGAATCTTTCAAATGATACCCTTCACTTTCACCTCACTTTCGTAGACCAACTAAACATTTGGCGTCACAGAAAATTGATAGTGGTATGATTATGAGATCGACCCACACCGATCCATATCTAGTGGTGTGTGCGACCAATCGCTCCATCTACCCTTCCCCAGAAAAAGAGAAAGTAAAACAGTAGAGCCTATTTATTGAAAAAGAAACAATAAAATACAACTAAACTTAAAATAACTGAACATAAAGTAACTATATATGAGAAAGAGGAAGGAACCTATATCACATTATAACAGCCCCAGTAGAAAAACATGGGGGTTACTAAACATATACACAACCACAAACGGAGTACATAAGAATCATCCGGCAACAAAGTTAGTAATCTTAAGAGAGGTAGAGAGAAGGCATATAAAAAGAGAAGACAAGAGAAAGAACAAAGAGAGCGAGAGTGCAACAATATTTGGTATGCTGGTAGGTCGGGAATGAACAATTCACAAATTCAACATTAAGTACGGATGGAAGGACCTTGGTGATGTCTGCTGCCTTGGTGATGTAGTGGGGGTCTACCCCTCCTCTTGGTACCCCTGGATGATTTTGAGGTCGAATTGGTACCTCTGTCGCTTCGAAGACCAGTTCGATGGCATACTCTAGGTGGAGGAACAATGGTCTCAGAATGACGTTTGGCACCGCGTTTTACGCGAGTGAAGAGCGAGTGGGACCGTCGGCGCCGTAAATGAGTGGATGAGGGAATACTTGCGCGGGGGAGAAAATGTTGGTCTGCTTTCTCTCGCTGCTCCTCATCTGTAGATTCTTCTTCTTCTGAGGAATCAACTTTTGAAAGTGGAGTCGTACATCCAGCCAATCGGGTTTCTGAAACGGTAACTTGAAGCTTACATTCCACAATTATAGAAATTCATTCTGATAAGATGTGCATACCGTAATCCTAAACTTTTGCAAGAGCACTTAGCGATTGGTGGTGAGCCCACATGCCATTAAAGATTGTAGTTTTCCTTAGAAATAGGCATCCTTCAAACTTTCGCAAAAAAATCCACCTCGAAAACTGAACAGTGATGCTCGGTGTGCCTATGGTGGACTTTTATGCTTTAGGATTTTATAACCCGACTCAAACCGCAAAAGGCAGGGCATGCATTAGATTTCCTCTTTTCGTGTATGAATTGCGAGCTAAAATTAGGGCAAACAGGTACCTTAGTGACAGCTTCACATATGTATGCACCTAATGGGTGTAGTATTCAGTAACTTCAGGTCAACACTACATTCTCCATTAAAAAATGTTTATGCTCATGGGAATTTAAATGGCGAATTTTTGAAGCCACAACTAGCATTTGCAGACTTACCATTAAGAAACCCGCTTTGGGATTGCTTAAGCTGTTGTAGCTGCTCGATTTCTTGTCGTAAAATGTGCTCTCCTGCAGTAAAAAAGGCGCAGTGGGAAAAGGGCAAAATATATACGTGACACAAACGTGACACAAGCAACGTACTATGCAGCTGATTCAGCAGTGTATCTGCCTCTGAGGCGGAGAGAAATCGAAGTAGGGGTTTCAATGATTCTGCAATGTGCCTAAAATTAGAAGAAAAACATTGACCATAGAATAAAATTAAGAGTTGGGAAAGGACTGATGGCAGCTACTTGCCCATTTAACTCAATTTTCGAACGCCCGCATATTGCACTACAACTACTAAAGTTGATTATTATTTTCATCCTGACATTTAAATGAAGCAAATATTCCTTCCTTACTCAGGCACTTTTTCCACCTGCAAGACGAACGAATTCCTTACTCCTACCCCAATACAAGTATTCAGACACGGACTCTTTCCTACCCTTTGCGTGGAAGTTTGAGAAGGCGAAAGTATGTTTTGGCTCAAATAATTTTTATAATTCCCTAATGACTTCTAAGATAAAAGTACAGAAATGCAACTATTTTATTGCTGAAAGTGCAGTCTAGGCAATCACGTAGTTCCAGAAGATATCTGAACTTGACCACACCAAGCTAAAGTTAGCGAAATAGAACTAATAGTAACAGGACGAGAACATTTGCAGATGCAAAATTCTAATGGGTTCATTGGCTTCTGTAAAGGTATCCATAACAGAAAGAGCAAATAATGAAGTGAGTTATTATCTATCGAAGCCAAACCTAGAAGTGAATAAATCCATAGCAAGAGATATCCAAGCGCCCTACTTTTAGGGGACAAGTCCTTTCATAGCACAAGTAGGGACCGATTCCCATGTAAACGAATTGCAAAATTGCTTGAACGATGGCAACCAAGAGGTTCAATTATAATGTAAGCCAAAACCGGTGAAAAATGGAAAAAAAGCATTACTTAAAATATAGACCTCAAAAAAGTCACTGTGACTAAAATTGTATAGCCCTATTTTAGGCAGTTAGGAATGAGGATAATATCCCGCAAAGTGCATCGACTTGTGGAGAAACGACATTTTAGAGAAACGAGCAATAAGACTGATTCACCTACATGCTTTCGGCATTGCGAAATATATTAGGAGGGGTGACCCGCAGAAAATGAAACGGATAAGATATAGCCATAGGCTAGTTGCTCTCTGCACGTTTGAACTAATTTCGCAAAAAATGGTAAGAATGCGTACTCATGAAATAAAAAAAGAGAGCTTAAAATATGCCATATATAGCGGGCCACTGAGAAAAAACAGCTATGCATGGTAATTTCGTTTTCCTTTACACCTGATTACCACTGATTTTACCAAAGATGGGATTGGAGTCCTCATGAAAGGATTCACTTTATGAATGAAATGGAAGCAGAAATGAAGGTCAACACATGGCAAAATGCGGATAACAAAAGTTATCCTACATTTTACGCAGACTATACAAGATTTAGTTACTTTAGATTAAGCATCCAGTAGATTGAACAAGTCGTAAATTGGATGACTCATGCCCAAGGAAAGCCTTGCTAATATTTTTGCCGCAAATAGTTATGACTGACACTAGTTAGTAAACGGAAGATCTGCAAAAATGAACACGACTAACTAGTTCAGCTCAAATCATCAGCATTTTCCTTTAAAGAGACAGAAAATGAATTCATCTACCAAACTTCGGATTTAATACTTCTTCTACCTCTACGTATTGAAACTATTACAATAAAATAAGCAAATAAAAAAGCAACTTACGGAGGAATACAGCAGTTATTCGCTTGCTGAGCAGAAGGGGGATCAAAAATGGATGTATGCAGTGATTTCTTGTTTGTTGTTGAAGTAGTTTGAGAAATACTAACTCTCATAGAGATACTCGCAGTTGGAGGATGGCAAGCACCAGTTTCCAAAAGTGGAGTAGAACAATTTTTAATTGGAGTTTTTTCACTCTCAACTGTATCTCCAACCGAACTAGAGTTCGTCACACCATTTGAGTTATCTACCGAGGGTACAGAGTACAGTGGACTTTCTGAGTACCCCACTCCAGAATCATGCATTGATTCCACAGAGGAAGGAGGCTGTTGGTTCTTGGCCGAAGAAGAATCTTCAGAGTGCTGATGTCCAAGAGGAAACTTCATTCGCGAAGCCGCCAGAAATCCTCGACCCAAAAACTGTTGCCTCCGTCGTCTTTGGTTTATAGCCAAACGTTTGCGGACCAGTGCACTGTCAGCGCGCCGTGGTTGGTCAAGCGCTGCGCGTGCCTGGCCGCTGCTATGGTAACCATTCGTTGCTGTTGCCTTGGCCGCAGCAGGTGCGTAGTGTTGGGGAAGTAGCCGGGGCAGGAGATGCGTCAGCAAATTAAGGTTGGCCAATAACACGTGATGAAGTCTACGCCTACGCAAGCGCTCTTCATACATATCCACTAGAGCAAGCACCAGCCCTGAAGTAGCGTAAGAGAAGAAAAGCTAATAAAAGGTAAGGTGCACGCAACTTTAATCCACAATAAACACGATTGAATAAGTATTGGGTAAACAGAGGTGACTTCATTGCATGTGCTCGGAAAAGAAGAGTGGTAAAATATGAGGTGAGGTAGGAGCAAACACATTTCGGTAAAAGGCATATATGAACGCACAGTGAAGCTCTAGGGTTAAGAAAGTGAGATACGCAAACAAAAATACCGCCTGTCCAACATGAACCATTTTGCTGCAGTAAAATGAAAGGAAGATCCAGAATCCGTAAAAAAGAGTAACTCAGCATTAATACTGCATGAGCAGACCGACAGACTCACTCGTCACGATTTGCCCATTTATATATATATATATATTCTAAATAGTTTCGATAAACTGACTGGAATGCCTTTTGCTTAGACATTGGAGAATATATCATTTTGTGTATGACAATAAAATTTGGATTGTAATACAAAAATGCTGCTGGAGGGCAAAGATTGTATGAGATGTCCTCGAAATATGCTCAAATTACACTTTAAAGAGGCGGAAATCTTATTCACAGCTATGCAGTTAAGATATTCGCAGTTTAATACGCAGATACAATCACTTGTACTAACATACATGTTTAAGCATGAAACAAATTAAATAGACACAGCGAATTGTACATGAAGTCACTAAGACGTGTTAAACACCGTGTTGCTGAACAGAAATAGAAGTCAACAGGTAGAAACTTCGAAACAAAAGACAGATTCATAAAGAGGAATGAGCTTTGACGAGATTCAAGCATCCGAAGTAGGATACTGCCTACCGTAGTGTAAATCCCTCTAACCCAAGGAAGCATAAGCTTGCAATAAGCTACTGACATCATATCCTATCGAAGACTGGGTGTAACTTACAACTCACGACACCAAAAGTTCATTAAATTTCCAAAGATTAGAGTGGTATCACTGCTTGACTTATAAAACTCGATTAATTTCGAGGAAAAACCTTCTCCAACTATCAGACGAATGGGAATTGGCTTGGAGATTGTAGGAATGACATATTACAGACGAGTACACAACTTCGTCCTTGGAAATTAGCATCTTTAAATCGGACCATCATTTGAATGAAATATCCATTAATGCTTTAGTCATGAAAGGGGCTCTATAGGAAACTAGAAGCCCCTAAATCATATCGCCTTTTTGATGCAACACTTGACATTTTTTCATTAACAAATTTGCAATAGAGCAGAAATTAAACACGACTGTGCGCAAGGTATTCGCTCTCTTGTTTTCAATTTTTTAGCACGAGCACAAAAGACGAAAGAGGCTAATTCCAATGGAAAATTATCGTTATCTAAAGTCAAGTCAAAGAATGCAGTGTGAGTGAGGAATGATTAAATGCATGAAGTGGCTTCTAATTTATTGCAAGCAAAGAATTTAGGACGATCTATATCATCACACTAAACGATTAATTTGGAGTGAAAATAGGACAGATCATAGGTTGCCAATATCGAAAATATCCACGCCTTAAAGGTCTGATAATCGAGTTATCATCACGATAAAAACTGCATCAATACAATGTCAGTTAATAGGCAACTCAACTGGAACAGTTTACGGGTGTAGACTTGAAAGAACAAGTTGGCTAAAAGTCACGATTCGGATTAGCACTAAGTGATAGAGAAAACAAATGAAGCAACAGATGGCACTCGAGAGCTTAAATTGTCTATCGATTTGGAGATTTTTCCCACAACTTTCACAATTTAACGTACCTCAACAAGTTTGTAAAAGCATAAATAAATCGATAGGTAAATAAGCACGGAATCTCATCCGTGAAAATAGCAATCAAACGAAGAGTTAACACGTGGACCTAATTAAGTAAACTTTTCCCTTTTGAAATATAGACAATTCATTGGTCCCGATTTCAAGTAATGCAGGATACGTAATGACCTAACTTCATTACTAGCTTATCAATGATTCTATTCCTCGTATTATGTTCTGTATTGGACGCGATAACGCTTTCCACATTCAGATGCAAGCGCTTCTGCTCCGCAATGGGCCATAACAATAACGAGATTATCAATCAAATTATAAAATCCAAATAAATACCAAAACAGTACTTGAGAAATTTCATGAAGAGGTCCGTCAAGTTCTGTAGATAAAAAATTGCTTAAACAAATATATCTGCGATAGCTAGTATAATTATCCACCTTAAAAAAGAAGCATACAGCGATAACTATTAGGGAGAAATGGTTGTGATAAGTTTCGCCACCACACTGAGGTAAAATACTTTCCTTTAAAGAGTGCATGGATTAACACAATAATCATCATCTGACGAATAGTTCAAAAATTATAAAAGCCAAGATTAGGAAAGAAACGCATTGAACTTCCAACGCTATGTAAAGCAGAAAATGACCACCATCCAAAGAGCGTTAAATGTGAAAAAAAGCAATTCAAATTAACAAAACATGCTAACCTAACCTTCAACAACTTGATGTTCTTTCTAATTTCATTTTAAAGTTAGATGTCATTTCCCAACTCGATAATCCGGTTGTGCCCTTAGTTAATGTTAATGAAAATCGTTTCGTAAATTTATGGCAAACTATTTTAACTAGTCGGTATGTTTTTTTGGTGGATATCTGGTAGGTAAAGACCACGTTTTATCAGTGATAGAAAGATTTGACCACTATGCTGTAAAGTCGAACAAATGAATGGCAAGGGCTAAAGTAATCTTAGAAATCAAAACAAGTACGAGAAATATCATAAGCAAGTCAAAGAAAAGACAGTCGCAATAGATCAGCTGATAAAAAACAAGCATAATAATAAAAATATACTTAGCATTAACGTAAAATGCTTTTACTTACCCCGATAGTGATCGTCATCCAGAAAATCAACACGAATCCGTGTAATCGGTAATTCTGCGTCGTTATCATATTCCTGAAGAAAGAGTAAGGGACCAAAACACAGAAGGCTTACATATTCAAAGTCATCCCTCTTCGGTTTTAGGCCCATCTTCTTACAGCATTCTCGAGGAATTGGAGTTTTACTAAGGCATAATTCTCCTAGACAATCATTAAAATCCCTTTCAGGAATGGGAGGTTCTGGGTGATAAAAATTGGCCAGTATCCCTGAGGCGTATATGGATAGAAAGTGGTTTCGGCACTCCATGGGCGAAACGAGTCCCATTCGCGAAGCTATTTCTGACCTTAACCAAATGTTTAAGGTTTAAGAATCTTCTTACCAATTTCCAAAGCCATAAGACTCAATATGTTCTAAAAATTCCATCTCCCTCTCAGCAGTCCAGACAAAATTAAATCCCCAAACGTTAGATAACTAAGAACTTCAGAAAAAAAGCTGTCATTACCTCAAAAGTGTACTTATGCCACCTTTTGTGTTTACCAGCTTCTGCACCGTATCTTAGACACTTAAACGTAAAAACAAATTAAAGGAAAACTTACTTCAGGACACAAAGAAACTTTTTGGCAATTGGAACACTTTACATAAATATATGGTAATTTTCTGATACAGTAAGTACAGTGTTCACTCATTTTTAATCGCGATAAGCGAAATAAAAAAGGAAAGACTACAAACACATGATGTTTAAAATCGCCAGAAACCCGCCGGCTTGTTAAAATAAAGAAGTAATTAGCTCAAGGCAACCGAAATGCAAAAGCTATTAACATTTTTATAACTCCCCCTTCGTTGTAAAATTGATTATTTATTTTATATCTTTTTTATCCATTTTCAATATCGATCTTTTTAAATAAAAATTTTTATTTATATCAAATGGCGTTTTATTAGTTATCATTAGCCCTTTAGTTGACTTTAGGCTTCACAGAGGGAAAGGAACACCAAAGTGAAAAAATTCGAGAGGGGGGACAGAAGAGTGCTTCAATGAGGCAAAAGAGATAGACACAAAGTTAGAGAAAAGGTAAGATGAGTACGGTATTGGTCGAAAATGGCATACAGTGGAGTGATGGTAGTTTGAAGTCAGAAGTCAACTGCCAGTTTATAGACTTTTCTTGCAGTATGAGTATGCCCAAGGCACAATACGTGGAGATAAGTCTATCGCACATTCCTTAAAATAATTATAATAATATTCTTAAAATTTGCGTCATGTGCCACACTAACTGTTTTTTATAAATGAAGAATATATAGTTTGGGGACGTTTTAGCACAGTATGGTTCGTGTTTTTACATCTCACTTTTTCAGTGAATCATTAACTTTTATAAGAAATCAGATATGCTATTGATAAATATGTACTTTTGTATTGCCATTGTTAGGTTAAAATTACTTCAATCTTAATACGACAAACTAGCCATTTGCGGTTTATTCTTTCAGCTGAAGCCTTATTCGACTTTTCTTTTCAGACACGATCAGTAATTATAGTTTGCTCGTTTATATAAGCGGAATTATATTTCGAATTTACCAGTTACCAGCAAAGTTCTGCAGCAACTTGCGTATAAACTTGACTAGGATTATTTGCCTTGAAATTACAGGAATACAAATCGCTTTCAATTAAAGTTACCCTGTTTATTTGAATTTTATTATTTTATTGAAATTTGTGTCAACTTGAAAGAGGAGAGCATTTGCCTATATTCTAACTTATGTCGTATAAATGATACAGAATTATTACTACTGAAAATAGATGTGAAACTATGATTTTGTCAAATGAGTTTCGAAGTTTATCCGAGAATATGTTTACTAAATAATATTTCGTAAAGATGACGACTTTCAGTTGAGGATACAAACAATAAGTATCTTCTTTTCAGTCCATCACGTTGACTGAAATTCCTGCAATTCATTCTCCTTAGATGCCCATAAACACTTCATAAAAAGAATTTTTATCTGACAATTCACAATTTTTGCCTATAATTATTTCGAGGTATAAAAAAATATTGCTTAATCATCAGTGTTAGAACGGATTTATATTTAATTAAGCTTACATAAACTTTTGACTGCGAGATTTATTCATGATTTGAAATCATTTGACATTCCGGGTCATCAGCGATTTGAAATACTAGATAGAAAAGCGTCATTAAGTGCAATTATACGACTATGAGACAGTTGTGACCACCTAAACTTGCAAACTTGCATTTAGGTAAATTTAGCTTTAGTCCGATTCATTCATTTTTTTAACAAGTAAGATTTCAGAATTACAAAATTTATTCCATAGATATTATACTAAGTCCATGCTAAATTTACAGAATCAAAATACTCTAAAGTAGCTACTGATAATAGTAACTACTGGAATTCAGTAAAATTATGTTCTCTCAAGATTAAAATGATGAAATTCGAATAGATGAGTTTTATATAGCCCGTTTTAATTTTTTTCAAAAATTCCAAACAAAACGCGACCTCTTTCTTTATGGCACAGAACAGACCTATTCAGTCAATCACTCGTCTTCCTAGTTTGGGTAAAATAGGACCGCCACTCGAACTGCCTTGATATGAGTTTAGCTATTCCATGATTTACTACGTAGATATCCCAACTAACAGCAGGAAATGGTAATTTTGTGTCTCCACAGATTCGTTTAAACATTTTGAAAAGTATTGTCACTTTTCATTATAAATTTTCTCTTTGCATTACCGCAATCAAAGGTAACTTTTATTTTCTTCGTCATGCAGTCGAAACGTCTTGTACCCCCCCCCCCCATTCGACGGGGAATCCACAGTAGCTAAAGTGAACAGGAGTCTATCAAGCTTTTGACGTAATTAAAATAAAGGACCGAGTAAAAGTCTGTTCGTGGTTCCCACATGTTGGCACAACTCTGTCTCACGATTATCCAAGTTCCTGTTATTTCAAAGCGTCTAACGGTGTTATTTATCCATTTTAAATCGACATCAATGTTATACACGATAAAATCTATCCTCACATAGTCCCTCAGTAAATTTTAAACATAAGACAAGTTCAATGCCAGCTTGTTGGCAAGCTATAAAACCAAAATGTATATTTTATAAATCAAAGCAAATTAACAAATAGAAAGAAATTAGATTGTCGTATTAGTACAGTTTGCATAAAATGTGTAAAGGCGTTGTCTTTTTTGCTTTCGAAGTCGTGAAATGTGAAGTCATTTAAAATAAGGACAGTATTACTATATTTTTTAATTCCTCGAATAGCAAGTACACGTGGTCTTTAATGGAGCACACTGTCGATCCAATAATCGTACTAGCACGCCATTGGAGCCAATTCCGAGTAATTTGACTTGTCACACAGGGAGTACCTTAGCTTTAACGCAGGTTTCTAGTGGTTGATTGCATGTCTATAAAGCTCTCTATAAAAGGCACTCAAATCTTAAAATTTGCACTCATTTAGGCTAGAATGTCGGGTAATAGGAGTGCTATTCGTTATAACAAAGGACCACCTTCCTTGGCCTATCCAGGCCACTCTACAAATGCTCGCGGACATAGTGAATTACGTACGCGGTTCGAGGAACTCGGTTTCAATTATGGTTTTGCTCGAGCAGATCCTGGTAAGAACTCAGGATATTGTTTTGTATATCGGACTCTGAAGAATAAACTGGAGAAGATGGGAGCAGCTTGTACTATCCAGGGAGATGAAAATGAAATCCGCCTGACAGAGCTCGAAGGTCCCATAGAGAGAAGGGAAAAGGTGAAGATTTTCACCAATGACATTGTCAGCTATTACAAATTCAATCATCGAGCTAAATTTATTGCCATTTGCATTGATGCAAAACAACGAAGAAAGACTGGTTACTGGTTTTTATGCTTCGAGCGAGAAGGACAATTAACTGTCTTCTGTGCGTACCTCAATTGGTTATTTGGACTAGATGTTCAGAATTATTATGAAGGACCTGAGGAGGCGCGAATAAGTTATGTTGATCGACGATCCGGAAGTGCCCAATCGTTCTTGCTGAGTCATGCCTCCCGACAGTCTGGAAGTGATTCCTACTTCTCCCGATACGAGCAGGATGCTTATGATAGTGGATACACCGAATCAAGTAGCGAAGCTTACAGTTCCAGCACAATGGTAGGCACTCCTTCTCTGCCTCCACCTCCCCGGAAGTTTCAAACCCCTAGATTATCACCCCAAAAGAGTCCTAGAAGGCGTATTTTCAAATTATGGTAATTACTTATACTTGTACACAACTAAACTTTATGTGCATATATATATATTTATACGTTTAAATCTACTCTTACCTCCCTCCTTTGTTATCCCTCCTCTTTTCTCTTCATTATGCAATACAAGTGACTACTCCATTTTTTTTGTTGAAATAAGTTTCGATCATTCTTCGAACTAAGTGTCAATCATTACTGCCACCGTATCTCCTACAACCCCCCTCAAAATCCTCGCATTGCTTTGAGGCTTGTGCGTGGTATGAGTAGAGTAGGTAGTGTACTGGACATGGTTGAATGAATGGACTCACAATGAGCATGTATTGGTACTGCTCGTTCTATCTTCTCTCAATCCCTCCCCCCCCCCACCCCCTCTTTTTTATTTAAACGGTATTCGGTCAAGCCTTGCAATGCTAGAAAACGACCCTCTATTCTATGGCTACTTGGGTGAGTTTCACCCACTTAGCGTACACATCCTCGAGCCGGTTAAAATGTGTGGTGGGGCAGTGGAGTGAAATTGTAAGGGGAGAAGGGAGACGAGAGAGAGAGGGGTAGTATTGTAACAAGGGTAACAGCAAGAGAGAGAGAGAGAGGCATGAGACGGGTGGAAAATTCGTATTCCTACTGTTGCTGTTGAGCTGTTGTAGTAGTAAATGGGACGTGAGAATAGGAGGATATGTCGGTCAAACGTGTGAAACTCGGTTAAGTGTGAAATTAGGACTCGTGGGCATTCAGCGAACAAGGTTTCCGTAACTTCAATGTAACAATAGGCAGCCGAATTTCAAACCCATTGTTAATGCTGCCTAATTCATAATAGCTTAAATAACTCAACCGGTCTAATTAAAGTTTAAGAATTGGGAAGATTTAAGAGGACTTAAAGCATTCCCCTTGAGGAGACAAGCTTTACTTTTTATTATTAATACCAGTATAATTCGTCACACTCACTGTGGGAGGTAAACAGGCAGATCTATTCACAAAAACTAGGGTTTAAGTTTGTTTATCACTTGAGAAAAAAATCATGAGGAAGCACACCTTATCAACCCCTTATGATTTATTAAGTGAATTGCTTTAATTCGTCTTACTAAGTGCTGATGTAAGACACTTTGAGCATGCCATGTCAAGTGGTAAGCTCCAAGACACTGAAAATAAACGTCAGACAATTTTGCAACAGAGCTCAAAAAATTAAATTAAAGTCAGGCTATGAGTAGTCAAATTCTTAAGAGGACTTTTAAAAGGATTTTAAATTGCATTTACCGTAAGGATGGGAATATTAAGCCAAATGCGGATCAATTAAGAAATTTAAAATATGCATTTCGAGTACCATTTTGTGCATTTATAAGGTTAAATATATTATACTTAACCATATTATTATAAATTAATGATAAAAGGGCTTTAATTCTCAACTATTTAATGTTAACATGGTTTTAATCATAATTGATTAGTTTGGATCATAGGATGGCAGGAACAATAAATTCAAGGGAGGTTGGGGGGGGGGGGGGGGGGAGTGGTCCTTTAGATTTGTTGCACTTTAGAGCTTTGGACCTGAGAATGTCGGCGTTCATACGCTAAGCTTTTAAGAAAACGATGTCTCTGGCTAATATTTAGATTCAGATTTTTGATGGTAGAAGGACACGTCTGATTGGAGTTTATTTTAGTCAATATGTCCTTCCGATATATTAACTAAAAAATCACCTTCCTTGCCCAAATTCACTTCATATATATTCACATGCAAAAATTCGAATTCCCTGATAAGTCTCAGGGCTTATTGAACAAAGTCTTGTCATTGGTGTCCACTGACCTGCTGATTAAAAAGAACGACTAGTACCGCCAATTGAATTTCTCCTTTTCCCCTAAATTCAGAGAATTAGGTTGATAGTACTTGTTGCTAGCTTAACTATAGTGCGCTTCTCTTTGATCTGCACCTTTTAAAAATTGCTTTTGATATCGATTTAGTCTACAATATTTCCACTTATGTCTTAGTTAGCATTAGCTCTCACATAATACTGTTGCTAAATACCATAAGTTATTTAATGAATATTTGAATATAATTTCAATTAATGATTAAAGTCCATCTGAGCATTAATATCACAAAATTTAATTAGCGACTATTGCTAAGCCTTTTGATATTTAACAATACGTACCGTTTTAGGTTTAATTTCACAAATATTTTAATTAGCTAATTAAATTATGTGTTTCAAAGTTATTTATACTCATAAGACAATCTGTGATTCATACATATATTTCAGTATTTTGACGTCAGTGAAAGCTACTGAAACCAGGATCTATCGATCCAAATCCCACGTTTAGCGATATGGTGTGAAACACGCCTTTCTTCATACACCCAGAACTCAAAAGATTTATAGCCTGTCTTCGATAATACATCACAAGAGCCTCCAAGTAATCTCTACTTAAGCCAAATATACGTTAATGTGCAGTAAAATTTGCTTAAAAACACAAAACAACTCTAATTTAGTTAACTAAGACATGATAAAGTTCGAATACATATAATTATATATTTATTTGAGATTAAAACCTGTTTTAGACGAAAAAGGCAACTTCCGGATTGTGTTACATTTTCCAGATGAAAAAGTGAAATGATATTGTTTTTTTTAAAATTCCAATAAAAGAGGGCACAAAAAGGCGCTACAATAGTGGTATTCACTAAAGCAATCTAATATGCAGACAACTTGTGTTGCCGCAATTAGGCAGTCATGCATTTCCCCAAATATCCCCATCTTTTTGACATTGACAATAGGATTCGCGAGAGAGAGAGAGAGAGAAATATAAAAAAAGAAAATCTAAGATATTATTAAAGAGAGGTTTCTGACTGATGCATTTGTACAAAATTTGTTACATCTTAAGCCCACAAGTTGCCTTCACTTTCTACGACAACATAAACTAACTCTCCACAGATCATTGACGCGAAATGCTTGATTGGAATTCTGACAAGACCGCCATGTTGTCGCTATCTCAACCGCGCACCAGCCCCTCTTATGTTTAAATTTATTTATTATATTGTCTCAAATATAATCACATAATGAGGTTGAATTCCTTATTCCGACCTCAAATTGATTCGACACTTTGATTACATATTGTTTTAACTTGGCCATAAATTAAAAACAAAAACCTCAATTATTAAATAAGTGAACTCTGTTTTTAAGCTTGTAAGGAAGTGAAGTGAAATTATGGGTGTGCCATAGACTTACCTCCACGTGTTGCACCCTGGGTAACGTATACTCACACGGCAAAAAGTCTATAAAGTGACAGCTGACGTCTGACTCCAAACTATCATGACTCCACTGTGTGTCATATTCGACCCCTTTCACAGTACTCACCTTACCTTTTCTCTGCCTTTTTGTCTGCCTGTCTGTCTCTTCTACATCTGTGAATCACTCTTCTGTTGCCCTCTCAACTTTTTGTGACTTTGATATTCCTTTCCTCTGTGAAGCCCGAAGTTAATTAAAGAGTTAAGGATAACTATCATAAATCCTGCCACCTGATTTAAATATTGAAATGGTGTCAGAAAAATTAATGATATTTTTCCTCAGTCTCTGAAAGATAAAGTAAAGCCTGGAGTGATAAGACGGGTTGTTCCAATTAATTAACCTCTCCATAAGCCATAAGCAGAAATTTGCTAAGTGAATCGACGAATGAAGCACAAATTTTAAGAAGAGAATCAGTGAATTGACCGTTGGGTAAGGCCTGTACAAAAGGAATGCAGGAGTTGAATGCTGCATTTCTTCTTCGCGGATCTGGCTATTTTTTGCTCTTTGAAGCGAAATTGCATTGGTGGTACATTCCGGTGAACAAATTTTAGTCAACTTAGCTGTGCCTTCCATTACTGGTTTCTTCAACCCTACGGACAAATTGGGGTGGGGGGTGAGGGGGGGGGGGGAAGAGTGAAATTGCCCAGATTGACTACCATTTAAAAAATGCGAGTAATAAGCACTGGCTCTTGTTTGCAGGAGTTGGGTCTATGAAACCAACTGCCGACGCATCAAATTTAAATTGATCAACGTGAACTCTTCACTTGGCAATTAAATCAGAAAATCCAATTAACAAGGGTTCTTTTGCAAATGGAGTTAACTCTCAGTAGTCTTTAGTTCCAAGACTGTTTTTTTGTTTACTTGGATTACTGTTAATAGATTTTCCACAATTAAAAATAGTCGACTTTTTACTTGCTGCATATCATGGCAAAAATTCAGAAAAAAGGAAATAAGGATTACTCTTCAACAAATGTGATGAGTTTCCGCTGATTTTTCTACTTTTATTATTGAAAAAGTCGCTTAAATTCAAGTGCCTCTTCAATTTTGGTTCTGAAGGGCACCTATGTTCCCCCACACCCCTCCCCACCCGGGCGCCCCACCATTTTGAGGAGCACTTATTTTCACGCCATTTCAAAGCCTGCAAACTTTTGAATCTCGATTTTTATTTACGATCCACCGCCAAGACTTCTGAGATATTTTTAAAATGTCTCCCCTTTTTAAGTTACAAGTTCTCATAATTACAGAAAGAGATATATATATTTTTTCATTCATTCAGTGGGGAATTGTTTCATCACGGAGAAGTAGGGGTTTGAGAGGATGTTGTAGAAGAGGTCAAGGCTTCTACAGAGAAGGAACCACATGAGCTACGATTATCGTCATTGACTCGAAGAGCATTATTAGTATTAACACTGTCTAACTGGGATGTAAGACCAAAGAGCTGTTGAGGTGGTAGGATGTAAAGGGAAGATTGGGCAACTGAGAGATTAATATGGGAGTCAAGTCGAACTACCCTTGTCCAGAGTTTGGTGAGGTTATTCTTCCCGGGTTTTCTAGAGAGCGAGAAGAAGGACATATTATCATCATGTCGAGATTTAATGTGGAGTTTCAGGGAGGAACCTTGAGTGAAAGATGCTCCACATCCCGAGCATGAATACGGTTTGTCGCCTACAAGAAAGTTATAAATTTCGTATAATTGCAAGAATCCTGAGAAGTTAAATGAGTTATACAACAATAAAGCAGCGCGATTTCAGTCAACTAGAAGAAATTAACCTCAAAGTTCACTAGTACATCAGAACTGGGTAATTCCACAGTCTATTTCAAGGTAATACTCGAAACTGTCAGCTTTTTCTCAATAACAAATTTAATCTAATTTCCTAACATTCCTATTATTTCTCCCCATCAATTAACTTCAATCATGACATGCCTACTTAAGTTAGGTGAAGGATATTAGAGATTGAGAAGGCTCAGTTTTTTCTCCCATTTTTTGTAGCATTAAATTTGAATTGAAGTTCAATTTCATTCTTATGAAAAGTGCTATTCCAAAATTCAAATAGTTAAAAATCAGTTTATTATTCTTGGTTATCATTTTAGATCAACATCAATAGGCTTTAAAATGTATAAATTTCCTATTCTTTTTTCAAGGACGTGTTTCTTAACATTTCCATTAGAGGAACATCATTGAATCTCCCTGCGAGGTGTTCCAAATTCTGCCCCCCCCCCTTTGTTATCTAGACTTAATCAGTTCGGTTAGCCACTCCGCTTATTATGTGTACACCAATAGACATTAAACCCCGTAGCCTTGAACTTCAAGAACAAGAACGCCACCTGCTGCGCCACTAGCCCACAATTAGCTCTACGCTTTATCAAAAGAGTCATAAATTAGGGTGGTTTAGTATTAATCAATTCTCCAATGGAAGTATGGTGGAAAAAGTAGTCTAATAAATCGAGATGTAAATTTAAAAAAATTAAGCGTAAATCCGTGAAAATCAGAAGAATTTATTATTAAAATGGTCATTTTATTAACACACAGAATAATTGGAAGTTGCATGAACAACTGATTTGGCTTTACAGATATCTTCAAAAGTATCAATGTATAAATTAGAAACATACTCTTGTTCCTAGGACTGGAAGGTTCAATTCTGCTCCATGCCGCAGTAGCTTAAATAAACTCATTTTGCTTGAATGTATACAAGATCTCATCACTGAAAATTCCACCATTTATTCTCATTATTTTTCACGGAACATTTATCAATAATAATTAAGCGCAACATTGGCCGGAATTCTGATGATTTCAGTTAAAACTCTTCTAAATTTGAACGCATTCTGATTTCATTAAGGCGGAGGTGGGGGGGTGGGGGGGGGGGGAGAAAGCTTGATAACTCGCTTACCGGTATGTGTTCGAATGTGCACGTACATATTGCTGTAATGCCGAGTTGTATAGGGACAAAGTTTGCACTTCAAAATCGATTCCTCATTCCCAGCAGCGTGAGTCTTGTGAAGGTGTCTCAAAAGATTCTTTTCAAATCTGAAGGGCTTTCTGCAGAGGGGACAGGACAAATCTTGTTCCCCTGTTGAAAATGGAATGAAGGGTTGGAAGTGACTCGATGGAACAAGATCCAGAGACGTTGATTGAAGAGAAGGAGTTGAGGAAGATTTCATAGAGAGATCTAAAGCTTGTTCCATAACATCTTCAATGCTATCCACAATGGGTAGATTTGCTTCAGGTGGAAAGTTCATCCATAAAGGTAGCGGTGATGGGAGAAGCGATTGAGGATTTTGAAAATTCAAAAATGGTTCACAAGATCCCATAAACTGTACAAGCTAAAATGTGAATCAAAGAGATGATAGCCTATTTGACATGCAAAGGGATTAACTGAAGGGGGAATTCGTAAAAACATTTCCACCAATTATAGACCTATTTCATTGTCGATCGATGTAGACAAACATTAACCCCAAAATTGTCTCCAAATCCGCTTTGCCTAGTCATTTGTATTAATTTATGTTTATAGTATAATAGAATTGATATAAGTATATTTGGAAACAATTTTAGTTGGACTATAGTTTTTATGTAAACATCAAAATTGTATTTGCATTGGTTCAAATTGTTATTCTTTAGTCCCCAAGGCTTAGGAAATGCCTATACTTTGCAAAGCTCTACCATAAGTGCTCATGTAACAATTTGATACTATCTAATAATAAACGTAATGCAGACAATACAGCAGTAATATTATTGACACATGGTCTGGAACTATGGGAGCTATAAATTTGTATTAAAGTAATGGGAAAGACTAATGAATACATATAATGCACTTACTCGGGCCCTCAGTCTCTGAACTTGGGAAAATTCCATTGTCTTTATGAAAATCCGTTCACATCGGATATTTAAATAGTTACTAAAATATAATCAGCAAATAGAATGCCCTATTTACCGGGTGTGAACATTCATGTCCAATAAGACAAATGAAAATTGTTGACCAATCAGATTACTGTGGACACCCAGTGCGCGCGTCATTCTCATTGGACGTCAGTTAATCCGAGATGCACTATTTAATGTCATAATTGCTTCTATTTTTCCCGTATTTAAGGATTGATTTTGGAATTATATGAAAATCAAAGTGATCTTGATTGTGTATCAAACTAATTCTACGCAAAAGTGAACATTTAATGCTTAAAAGTCAAATGAAATTACCTTTATGTGATTGCATTATACAGCTACTCTATATATAAGCATCACATAATTACCATGGTGCCATCTTCCCGTAAATAATAATGTCGTAAATATTAGCTGTGTTCCTAACCAAATGCCATAAATCAGACTAATCCGCATGGTCCTCTGCTAGATGTTAAATGCTTCTATAGTGGCCTTTATTGTCTCAACTTGAATTGTTGTAATTGTATGTTGCCATTTTGGACAACGATAACCATGATATGAATTTTCTAAAACCCTGCCAGGCTTTCTTCGCAACTCTCATATATTGTTTTGATATAGAACAAGCCATACTCCGATATTTGATACTTTCCCATTTACGATTTATAATAAATATGATACCAATTCTTAAATTTATTTCTATGCGCTTTCAAGAATCATCCTGGAAAAAGTGCTTAAAACCATAAGTCTCTTGGGGGGGGGGGGGGGGGGGAGGTTAGAAATTCGATTTCATTCATCGTTTGGCGGATGAAAACGTTAGTCACTTAGTCATCGAACAATCTGATATGTTCTAAAAATTTAATTTTAACTCCATTCAAATTAAGAAGCCATACCCCCTGGCCACATTTTGACCTCAGCGCCATCTAACCCATCGCTCCATTATGACTTTATCCACAGTCATCTTTTCAAACATATAGGCCATTTCAAAGCAACAATTTAGGTGGTAAACAAGAAAGATTGTCATGCTTAAACATACAAAGAGTCCATTACTATTTCAACATGGGTAGGTTAAAAGATTAGTTCAATGTGGGTTACCCAGTTCAACATGACTTTTAATTTCAGCGTTAATCCGTCCTCGAAAATAGTAAATGAAAGGCATTTCAAGTGTGCATTTTAAGTAGAGTTTTAAATAAGAAGCGTGTTGAGACTCTTCGTAGACAGACTAATCGATACAATGCCCAAGGTGATGCGTTGACCTTAACGCCTTCAGCTAAGAGGGAGAGGGGGGGGGTGTTAATTACAGTAATCTGTTGCAGCCAGTCGCCTTATATTTAAAGTTTTGGGGTGTGCGATAGACTTACCTCCACGTGGTATATCCTGGGCAACGTATACTCATGCGGCAAAAAAGTCTGTTAACCGGCAGTTGACTTCTGACTTCAAACTACCATCACCCCACTCTATGTCATATTCGACTACTTCCCCAGTACTCACCTCACCTTTGTTCTACCTTTTCTAACTTCGCCTTTGAAACTCTTTCATTCCTCCCCACCCCCCTCCTCAACTTTTTTTCACTTTGATGTTCCTTCCCCTCTGTGACCTCCCCCTCCTCTTGACTTTTTTCACTTTGATGTTCCTTCCCCTCTGTGAAGCCCGAAGTATCACTTTGATGTTCCTTCCCCTCTGTGAAGCCCGAAGTCAACTAAAGGGCTAATGATAACCATCAAAACGCCTGCCATTTGAGATAAATAAATATTTAAAGTTTTAATACGATTTTCGGTCAGTGATTGCTGCTATTTACCAAAAAATTTATTTATATCAAATGGCAGGGGTCTTGATGGTTATCATTAGCTCTTTAGTTGACTTCAGGCTTCACAGAGGGGAAGGAACATCAAACAGAACAGAAGAGTGTTTCAAAGATGTAAGAGACAAACACAAAGGTAGAACAAAGGTGAGGTGAGTACTGTGAAAGGTAGTCGAATATGACATACAGTGGGGTGATGGTAGTTTGAAGTCAGAAGTCAACTGGCAGTTAATAGACTTTTTTGCCGTATGAGTATACGTTGCCCAGGGTGCACCACGTGGAGGTAAGTCTATCGCACACCCCATTTACCAAAAAATAAATCCGTAATTGTACCTACTTCCCTACCTGCCGAAGAGGGATCGTTTAGGGCAGTACTCCTTTGGATAACCTGGCTTATGAGGTCATGCCAACTGCTGTACTTTTCCTCGAGTTTGTTATTGTGAAATATGAATTTTATTCCAAAAGCCAGTATATATTATTTTAAATTACTCGATATTTGATATGAATTGCCAAATTTGTTTCTTTTCCAAGGCATTGCAAATTGCTTTACAACTGTTTATCATAAGAAATATCTAAACCCAGGGTAAGTGAAGTTTCACAGATAGCAAGAGCGCTCTATTGAATAAGACAATACTTAGGTGGTGCAAATTGTAGTCAATTTAATCATGAAAATCCAAATTTCATGAGCTCAAAGTTATCAGCTTAACTGGTTTATAAGTTGAAGTTCATTTAGGCTTATTCTCTAATTTTATCAACTTACACTCCATAGAGCAAAGCTGAGTGATATGCTTTCATGTGATTTTGTGACTATATGCCTTAGGCTCAACTTTTCTAGCATTCTCCCACTGGACAAAGTAGTATACCACTTAGTGAATTACCTTTTTGGGGTTGTGGTGATCGATTCTTTAATGAAATTTCGTTCAAGTCCAAAAGTATCCAATGGGGATAATGCTCTGTATCACGAGAAATGGCATTCCACGCTCTCAGGTAAGCAATTCTTAATATATGCAGACTTAAAGATGGTCACTTTTGGTGTATGAGATTTTAACTGCATTATTGCTAACTTCTCATCTCTCTTGTAGATTCGTCCTTGTTAGCGTTTGAGGCAATGTTTTTCAAAGGTACTTTTTTTCTACTAGAACGTTGAAATTCTTGGCCTCTCCCTCATTTGATAGTATTATCATTATCATTAATGTTTTATTGGGCGTTGAGGTGTTTACTGAGTAGATATATTATTTGCGAACTTATAACATGATTTGTGTTCCTAGTTCCTTGAATTGATATGGCCTAATAATGTTGTGAAATCCATTAAGCGGAGCGTTATTGAGGTGACTTTCGTTTGTGTGACGCCACCATTAGTTTAGAGCCTTCTAGTGTTAGATGGTTAAAGAATTGCATGAAGGGGGCAAGGTCTGTGGATTGCCCTTATTGTTTTCCATTGGAACGCTACACGGAGATAACCGTGCGCCAAGAGTGTCAATAACTTGATCACCAGATATTTCTTAGTTAACTTAAACTAATGATCAAACACTTCTGGAAAATTTAAGTAGGCATCATGATCTCAATAACTGTAGGTTTTTTGTAGAGAGTTCTACCAGATATGCGCCCTATTCATAAATTATAAATCCATTAATAAACCCTCCAAGTTTACTGAGTTAACTCTCATTGGCCTCACAGTTCTATATTCTGATATAAACACCAAAGTGATCACATAACGTGGTTGAAATAGATACCGCCTTGAACCTGTTCAAAATGTTTCCTCTCGTTTGTTGCAACATCCTCTCACGGATGGTTTTGGTAAATAGACACGTCAATCTAGCTTAGATAGTTAGTGAGTGCGAAGTAACAATCAACTTCCCTATTATGACTTGAGGCAAGTAAAAACAAGGTTAAGATCTTCTCTCAGTGCCAAATATCTAAAGACCGGAAACAGTTGAATAATCCCACAGGGTAATGAATTGGCATCATATAAAATTAAGGAGGGGTGGGGGGGGGGAGGGCAAAGTGGAAATAGAAGGGTTAAATTTTGCAATTTGGGTTGTGCATGATGTGCTATAGGTGGATATCTCACCTTCTAAAATATAAATTTCATGTTCCGTCTGCTGAATGCTTTTGGTCTCATTTACCCATTTATTTTTAATTTAGGAAGAGGCGGTCTTATCAATAAATTGGCCTTTCTCCCAGTAGTCGAGAAGGAAAATTGATATAATACGATAGATTCATCAGCTTAAAACTTTAACATAGTGAAGATAATAACTTGATGCGTCTAAATTGCCAAACCCAAATAGAATCTTTTGTATAATATAATATTAAAAATATTCCTTTACTCCACTTGACATTGTTTTCTTCATTTCTCTTCTAATAATCAGAATTCCAAATATCAAGGTTTATCCCATAAGTATAAGAGGTAATTATCATCCGAGGAAGTGAGAAAAGGCAATTAAGTCTTTTAAAGACGCTTTCACCATAACAAAGCTCGAATCAATAGAGCGCAGTCAATACAAGGCTGGTATTCGCAACAGAACAATATGCAGTAAATACGTTTATTATATAAGATAAACTATTTAACACCCCCTCCCCCCAACCCCACCCCTCATACATCATTTTAACCAATAGCATTTGAAAGTTCTTTCTGAATTA